ATCCTGTGAAGAAGACTAAAATATGCAATAGAGAAATTTATTGCATATTATTATATATGATTAGATCATCATTACATCAATATGCAGCAATTTGTATTTTACCAATATTGACATCGTCAATGGATGTGCGATATATATTGATACCTTGTATTTGCATTTAATTAATAACAAGTATTAGTTTGACATCGAAGGTACATTTTCATCCTTTTGTATTTATATGATGTAATTATATGATGTAATTATATGATGTAATATAGAATAAAGCTTATGTGCGTGAATGTCCAAAATGAACTCAGTCTAAGAAGTGTTGATTAATACTCTTCTAAAATTATCAATATTTAATGAAATTATTGTCAATATACTTTGCTATTAAGGATAAAATAGTATATATGAAAAGTATATATACGTTTTTATAATTAATTAATAATATATTGATGCAAATTTAACGCTTGAGTTAAATATTACTTTTCAAATTAAATATTAAAAGATGGTTTCATTTTAACGATCTTTTTAAAAATTTATATATTATGTACATATACATTTTTATTGCTTGATGTATATTTTATATGCATAATATAGACATATATAAATAATATATGTAAAAATTTGTTTAAAAGATTTTTACATCAATTTTTTAACAATTAAAAATTAAAGATGTTTGAAGTGTCAAATATTTCTATTACTAATGTTATTAATTAATTAAAAAATTTATGTACTGTATAATTCTATAATTCTTATGTTAGAAATAATTATGAAACGGTTTCTGTTTAATTAATTGGTGGTAAATAAATACAGAATTTTATTTCGGCAATTGGGAATCAAATGGCTACTACGTACACAAAAGTATTCGAGGAGCTCATGAGTCATCTTAACTTCACCATGAATATTGTCTCACAAAAGCTCGAATACGGAATGCGGAATCGACAAACTCTCATCTGGTCTGGAGTGATGGGAGAGATCGTATATAATCGCGCGGATTTCGCAGTCGCCGACATGGCGTTGACGAGTTTTCGAATTTGTTTTGTCGATTTCACGCTGCCCTTGATCATATCTAAAATCAATCTGTATTTCAAGGAACCGGGAATATGTGGCATCAAGTGGATCGGCTACTTTCAGGTAATATCATTTATTAACATTCAAATTATTAGTTTAGCTTTTTATCTCGTTGTAATCACCTCGAAAATAATAGGTGAGATTTGCCTAAGGCGTACTACTCATTTAAATCGTACTTCATCAATTTTTTTTTTATTACTCCGGATAAACAATGTCTGATATTAAATAAAAATATATGATAAATGAGCAATGAGAAATAATTATAGATAAAAAATTTCTGATAAGTAAAAAATACTGATAAGTACAAAACTAATTGCTTAAATTACTTTTTACATGTTGTAAAAAAGATTAATAAATTAATTTATTATTATTATACAAATTAATTAATTAATTTGATTTTAACAATATGTTCTGCATGTATATAATAGCAAAGTCTTAGCTTACTAACTTAAATATCAATTAAGCAATTTCCAAATTACAATAATTTCTTAACTTGCGTACAAATTAGTATAAAATAAAAAGTACAACATAAAATATCTTGATATAATTTTGGCAATTGTCGTCAATGTATCGAAACAGCTTATTTTTAAATCGAGCTTGATTTGATAAACTTGAATTAATCTTTTATACTCGTATAATCGCAACAGATCTTCAGTTCGCGCACTTGGGTTACAATTATCATATTGATAACGACCGCACCATTACTCTTATTCTTCATGAAAATATGTCGCGATCAATCACGAAGCATCGTGGATCTGATCTCTGAGAATTTCATCTGCATTTGGGGTATCTTTTGCCAGCAGGCGCTTATAGGTATTAATATAAAGTTTACAATACTTTTAAAGCAATTAACTTAAATATTTGGTCATAAAATATTCATAAAATATGTCACGACTGCTTCATTTTTTATAAAGAGAATAAGATAATTTAAATTTTAATTAAGTTAAGAGTTAAGGGTAACTCCGGTATATATGCATCTATCAAAAACTTAATTTATTAAACAATATAATATATTATAGAACCGTACATGTGTGATAACACAAATTATAGAAATCAAAGCCGGTCTACTTAAAATAAGATGTAAAATAACTTATAAAATGCGTTTATAAAGTTTTATTAAGGAATAAGAATGATAAATATGTATAAGAAGTAATAAATAATAATTACAATCTTCCTACATTACAAGTGTTATGACATGAGGTACATATTTCATGTAATGCGTTTATTGCATTTAGTGCACTGAATTCAATCTGCGCATTTTGTATACTTTGAGCATAAATCCCGCTTGCTAAAAATGCTGTACATTCCAAACAAGTGAGATAATTAACATAACAAACTAAAAGAGCAAAGAATAAAAGAGTAAAGAAACTTGTATTTTGCTATAGAACATGCTTTACTATTCCTCTATACTCATCTATCATGAAATAATCACTAAGTCTTTGCACGTCCTACAGTAATCATTTTATGTAGATCATAATTTATGATGATGCTACTTAACATAGTGACAAATATCGATTCAACTCATAATAATTTCATTAATATTAATAGTAAGAAACTGAAATCATAACACAATACTAATATAACATAAAGGCATGTAACAAAGTAGTTGCGGGAAAATTACTCCCTTTCTTCTAGTTTTTCTAATTTCTGCAGCGTAAATCCCAGCGCGGCGTATTTGCCGAAGTTACCCTAAATTTGATATTCTATTTTCTTTTGATTTGATATTCTAATTCTATTTTCTTCTTTTTCAAAAGTTATTGGAGCTGTAATTAAACTTATTTATTTCTTCAGAGTTTCCAAAAAGTTCATCACTGCGTGTCGCGTATTTCACGATAATTTTGACGGCGGTGCTAATAATGGCTCACTATTCAGCGGCATTAATTTGCTTCCTGACGGCATGTACTCATGTTCTACCTTTTCAAACGCTAAACGAATTCATTGACGATGGTACCTATAAATTAATCGTAATACGCGATAGTGCCGACTATGACATAGTCACTGTAAGTTCATTCAGCAATCAAAGAGTGATTTTCCACTTTTAGCTCGTACTTTTTGAACGATCAAAATTATATCAGATCGTTGCATTCAGTAACATGGAATTATGGTATTTAATATCTAATCGTGGTTTTATTAATATTGACATATATATATATATATATATATATATAT